AGTTTCGGTAACCGAATGCAATTTGGTTAAACAGAGCGGCAGTAATTTTAACAGTGAGAGAGCAGCTATTAGTGGGAGCAGTATTGGGAGCAACGGGCGTTGTCCGAATGTAGCTTCGAGGTCTAGCAGGCCCGAGCGGAAGTTAGCCTTATGCTAGAACAAAGGAGTGTAGCTAGCCGTTAGCTTCCGAACGGGACGTTTTAGCAGCAGTTTAGGCAATAAACAGTGAGTTTTGGTAACCGAATGCAATTTGGTTAAACAGAGCGGCAGTAATATTAACAGTGAGAGAGCAGCTATTAGTGGGAGCAGTATTAGGAGCAACGGGCGTTGTCCGAATGTAGCTTCGAGGCTAGCAGGCCCGAGCGGAAGTTAGCCTTATGCTAGAACAAAGGAGGGTAGCTAGCCGTTAGCTTCCGAACGGGAGATTTTAGCAGTAGTTTATACAACGAAAGTCTGGAGCGAGTTATACAGTTCGCACAAGCACGTATCACAGTGGCGGGGTGGTGTTTGTCTGTATTGTGCAGTACAGTCTTGGTGTGTGTGTGTACAACAGCAGGTTAGCGGTGGAGAGAGTGGTGAGACAGGGTTAGCGTAGCCTAGCAGAACAATAGCATCACATTCAAGCAGCTGCCTTTCACAGCCTTTATACACATATATACTCGGTTACAATCCTGTGTGACGTGGGTCACAAAGGGACACAGAGTAGGTTTGTGCGCCCGTGTTCTGGACACGGCGCACAGTGGGTTACAAGGATAAGTTTTTGCGCTTTCTCTTAAGAGTTTAAGCGGCTTCACATCCCACGCTGCCCGCTGGCCAAGCGGGGCGACACGTTGTAGGAGATGCGTAGTACCCGTACGAAAAGTCGGGATTTGAGACTAAATTATATAGTCTAGTGCATGCACGGAGCGCTATACGCTAGCGTGGGCGTAGGGGAGCTCGATTGTCGTTGAAGTCACTATAGCAACGGAGGTAGCAGGGATGTGGGGGTGAGGAGGTGGGGGGAAAGCGCTTTGAGCGTGAGCAGAGCTTCAGTTAGCGTATTGCAGATCAAATCACAGAGTACGAGTTGATAAATCTGGTTTATATGCGCGGATCTCACAAACAGGGTACCATATATGTAGGGTAATAATATTACAGTAAGCTATAAATTTAGTAGTGTGGAGCGGCTAGTCTCCGGATCAGAAACTCGCCGTTCCACCAATGGGATCTGTCTTATTTATTTTGGGCACCAGTAGACGTTTGAGGGTCTACGACAGACCCAAACCAACTTGCCTCGATCCAGTATTACAAATCTGAAAGGTTGAGTAACGTAAATCGGCCAGGGATTTACCGAAATCTAACAACACGACTCTGATAGGATTGAGTTAAAGAAAAGGGGTTTTATTGATTACAAAAATGAAGGTAAAAATATAACGAAGGGGATTTCTGGTCACATTAAAGCAGAAGTGGTATACATTTCATTCAAATCACACATTTAACAAGAACAGTCTTACTTTGTAGGAGCGTAGAGGATGGAGAAAGGATTTGGGTTGGGGAATCAGCCCACGTGGTTTCTTTGTCTGGGCAGGCGGGAGGTACGAAGCCAGCGAGTTGGTCCAGCTGCTGATCCACGCGTATACAGCCCAGTCCGGAATGGGTTGCGCGCGTAGAGTCCAGAGCCAGGGAAAGAGGCTGGTGATGGAACAGTTCATAAGGTCCCGAGCCAGAGGAGAGTGTGTTTTGCGGAGTAGAAGGCCCCATGCGTGCAGGCGCGGCCGTAGTTGGAGACACGTGCCGCGGGACGCAGATGGGCAGGGAGGCTGGGATAGTGATTTCAGGAGAAGACAAGAGGCAGTCTCTAGGTTTGCAGACTGGTTTTGTTGTGGTCAAGGTGGGCGCGTCCGTGACGTCATATTTGTGCGTCTTCCTTGGACAACCTCCTCACAACAGATGGGTTATAATGGGAACACACAGGATTAATACAGACGATCATAACACATGTACAAACACACACCACATTTCATTATTTGCCACTGGTACACACATGTAGGGCGCGGTACAGACTTATCGGAATTAGGGTTGGGCGATATGGGCCTCAGCATGTATCACGATTTTTGTTGGTATGTATCACGATATGACGATATGATAATTTTAACAAAGCCTCATATAAAAGCTATAAAAACTTAGCACTGATAATTTTAAACACACTTGCCTCAAAGTGCATTTGCCGATTTATTGGCAGCAAAATGTGCAATACAGCTATTGTATATAAAACGTATTAACAAAACTGAATTGTAGAGAATTCTGTTTTGTACATACTGAAAATTGCAGGCAACATGTAATAAAGGTGAACATTTGTAAAATATATAAAAGTTTGTCCTTTGTAATATAAAAAGTGTAGCATTATCAAATAATTATTTGATCACTTTGGCTTATGTTTCCTAATCCCAATATAGTCAAAATGATCAAATACTGTATATATTTTTTGTATCCTTTTGCGTTTCTATAATTATGTAATTATAACTTATTTGTAATTATATTGCAATGTAGACAAACACATGCATTGAAGTAAAATGAATGACAGTAAACAGTAAATAAAGCTTACCAATGGCAGAGAGAGAGAGAGAGAGAGCGAGTGTCCGAAGCAAGCCACTCGAGTCCAGTTGTTTAGGGCAGCTGCTTTCACAACATTAGATCCACTGTCGATAGTTACACACAATTGCTTCTTTTTATCTAGTTCCCAAACTACTCCCATATGTTTGAGGTAGCTCCGCGTTTTGGCACAATGTCTTCTACAATCTGCATGTCTTCACCATGGTCTTCACCGCCGCCCTCAGCCATGTTTGCTCTCTGCTCTGTTGTTGTTGTCCCTGCACGCCGCTCTGCTACACGTGCCGCGCAGATGCGTCATCAAAGTGCGCCGCACACAAACGTGTCTTCCGCTCGCTGTTTTCAGTGTTAAATGATCGTTTTCACCGGTATAAGGCATTTTCTTATCATTTAATTTACTTATACCGGTATACCGGTACAAAAAAAATATCGCCCAACCGGAATCGGAATAACACTGAGTCCGGGCTGGTCTACAGAATGTCCGGGCCGGGTGTGATGGTGTTCAGTGTCCACTGGGGGGCACCAGAACGCCGTGGGTGAGTCTCAGGTTGTGGAATGTCCCATGAGCGATTGCTGATGAATGATTCCTGATCTCTGTCCGGCAGAAGGGCACACAGATGTCCGCTCTGTTGTTTTATTGCCCCTCTGGGTCTTCTTGCGGCGTTCCTGGCGAATGTTAGCCTTCCATTGAACCCGTAGTTACTTTGAAGTCTCAGGAGCTAGGGAGGGCATGTTTACGGAAAGGGTCTGCTATTCACGCCCGATTGGCGCTTGCCCTTTTCCTCACCCTACATAATTATATGCTAAATTAAAGTAAAGTGCTTTAAGCCTGGCCTTGAATGTGGAGACCGTTTGTCGTGAGTCACTTTGTTGGTCACAGCAAGTAGTTTCTATTGCCCTATTTGCCCCATTACAGCCCTACTCTACTCTACCCTACCGTACCCTAGCCTAATGTAACACATTTTGAATGTGCCCTCTCCGACCTCACTCCTGTCCCCTGTCTGGGACCAGGACTCCCCTTAAAAAATAAAGTCCCACTGTTCTGTGCCTTTACTGATGTGTACCCATTTAACACTTTTTAAGAATTGATTTGTTTGGGTTTCTCTAGGAAAACAAAACTTTCACCACCATAGCATAAACCTGTTTGTCCTCTTAAAACCCACCCGCCCGCGGGCGATTTTTATTTTTAAAATGTTCTGCTGGCAATAGCAGATGTATTTTGAACACCAAACCCCACAAGCGTTTTGACATTTTAAAGCTTATTTTCTTATCTAAATTTACTGTATATACAAGTGTAAACTATATCAGAGGTTTTTTACTTTTGGTCTTGTGCTCCACAAATAATTTAGATCTCCTCCCACCTTCCTATTGCTCTTTCACTCCATAAATGTCCATGGAAAAAGAATATCCACTTGTATTTTCCAAAGTATCTATTTTGGAGAAATAATCCAAAAATGTGTGTTTTGCAAAAAAAACACTTTCTGAAAGAACATAGAGGCTGCTCTTTCACTGTTCATGGAGTTTCAGCTTTGTTTTGAGGTCAAACACAGGGTATGCTCGTGTTCCCCAACTCTTTAGTTACAAAATGAGACCTTTCCTGAACAGATACGTGCTCGAGTTCATCTGCAACACCCCCGTGAAAAAAACAAGCGGCCATCTTTTGTGCACTGTCCGTTTGTCTTGTTGTTAGCCAGACGGCTAGGGAAGTGTTCTTTTGCCAAATGATTGACATGTCTAAGTAGCCAATAGGGAAAGCTTTCTAGCAATTGGTAGGACATGGGGGTACTGTGTTGATTTGTATCAGTAGAAGGACGCGTAAAGGCAGGGAGAGAGACGCTGTCCGGAGCAGCGCATATATGCATTTACACTACTAAAAAATTAACTTAAAAAATCACACAGATTAGTAACTTATAAGTACCAAAAATAAAAATATGGTTTTTAATGATGATTGAGGACATTAAATGTCAGTAAAGCAATTTGGCACAATTTGGCTCCAAATGGTACTACTTGATGAAAAAGAGAAACATACATGCATAAAAAACTATAAAACTTAGAAGTCTGAAACTTTAGACAGGTGTTGCCAACAACATAATGACCATAAGGTTTGAATATTGTGAGCTTCCGATGAAGAATGTCTTTGTTAGGGCCTTTTAGAAATTTTATATTTTAAGGCTAAAAGGCTAAAAAAACAGGTTTCTTTCCCCCCAAACTTCAAAGGATGCAGAGTGAAATAGGAATGACATACATTATTTTAGTGTATATTTACATAAACTAGAAGGCTCTAGCTTTAATATGATCCATCACACAAGCATATGACATGTAAGCAAAGACATTTGGGTATGCCTAACTTTAGTGCACGAGCCAAAATGTGGCAGGTGTTAAGAGGATTTCTGTTTTCCTGTTTTCTACAGCTTTCTCCAAAAAAAACCTGGGAGGGATTCATCGGAGGGTTGTTTTCCACCATAGTGTTCTGTGCTCTGGTAAGACCTCCTCCTGTCGGCCTGTAGCTGTAGCAGAACATATGGCAAATTAATGTTCTGGTCTCTCTCACTCTGGTCTCACTCATCTCTCTGGCCACTTTTTTCTGGTCTCTCTCTCTAGTCTCTCTCTGTGGTCCCACTCATTTATCTCTGGTCCCTCTCTCCTCACTCTGGTCTTTCTCTTTCTATGGTCTCACTCTTTACTCTCTCTTTCTCTCTCTCTGATCTCATTATGGTGTCTCTCCTCTCTCTGGCCTCACACTGAGCGTTCTCTCCTCTGTCTCTGTAATCACATTATGGTGTCTCTCTCTCCTCTCTCTGTCTCTCTCTGGCCTCACTTTGGCCTCACTCTGACTCTGGTCTTTCTCTGTGTCCGTCTCTCTGGTCTCACTCTGGTGTCTCTCTGTATTTGCTCATTGTGTGTGGAGTGGATAGAACTCTCCCTCTCGGTAAAAAGTTCATGGGTTCGAATCCTGGTTGGAACAGGCCTTTCTGAGTGGAGTTTGTGTCTGCGTAGGTTTCCTCTGGGTACTCCGGTTTCCCCTACCACTCAAAATATGCTCAATAGGTAAAATCCTCCAGCTCTGGTAGTCCTGACAAACCCGAGTATCAACATCTGGAGATGGATTTCTGGGTGCTGTACTACGGCAACCACTGCTCCTGACGTAAGCCTTAGTGGCATCATGATGGGTCAAATGCAGAGGACAAATTTACCTACAGGGACAATAATGTGCACATTTACATTCTGATGGTCTCCTATTCGACTCAATCAAACTCTGAGCTTGGTTTAAAGGTAAAGCTACCCTTGACCCAGACCTAGACAAATAGATTTGCACGTCTAGCGCCAGCTGCAATCACTGTCTGCAGCTTTTGGTTAAATTCCGCCCTCCCTCTGTGCAGCTGTCCTACGTGATGGCAGGCTGCCGTTACTTTGTGTGCCCTGTGGAGTTCAACAACGACCTGAACAGTTTCCAAGTGGACTGTGAGCCGTCAGAGCTCTTCCAGCTGCAGGACTATGCTCTGCCCGCGCTGCTGTCCTCGCTCACCGGATGGGTAAGGTTGCACACGCAGACGCGTACATACTCATGCACTGCACAGGGAACAGTTTACTCTGTGAGGACCTTCTCAGCAAGACTATCATGTCAATAATATATTCACATCAGAAGCAAAATGTACAAAATATATACAGTAATGTTGAGTCCAGGAGGAATTGCTCTACCTGTGTCATAAATGATACTCCGAAAGCCAAAGGCCCATAGGCTGTGCATACAGTGCCTTGCGAAAGGCACTGTATGCACAGCCTTTTTCGGCCCCCTTGAAAATTTCAACATTTCACCACATTTCAGGCTTCAAACATAAAGATATAAAAATTTAATTTTTTGTCAAGAATCAACAACAAGTGGGACACAATCGTGAAGTGGAACAAAATGTATTGGATAATTTAAACTTTTTTAACAAATAAAAAACTGAAAAGTGGGGCGTGCAATATTATTCGGCCCCCTTGCGCTAATACTTTGTAGCGCCACCTTTTTCTGCAATTACAGCTGCAAGTCGCTTGGGGTATGTCTTTATCAGTTTTGCACATCGAGAGACTGGAATTCTTTCCCATTCTTCCTTGCAAAACAGCTCGAGCTCAGTGAGGTTGGATGGAGAGCGTTTGTGAACAGCAGTCTTCAGCTCTTTCCACAGATTCTCGATTGGATTCAGGTCTGGACTTTGACTTGGCCATTCTAACACCTGGATACGTCTATTTGTGAACCATTCCATTGTAGATTTGGCTTTATGTTTTGGATCATTGTCCTGTTGGAGGTTTTCTTCCAGAATGGTCCTGTATTTGGCTCCATCCATCTTCCCATCAATTTTAGCCATCTTCCCTGTCCCTGCTGAAGAAAAGCAAGCCCAAACCATGATGCTGCCACCACCATGTTTGACAGTGGGGATGGTGTGTTCAGGGTGATGAGCTGTGCTGCTTTTACGCGAAACATATCGTTTTGCATTGTGGCCAAAAAGTTCGATTTTGGTTTCATCTGACCAGAGCACCTTCTTCCACATGTTTGGTGTGTCTCCCAGGTGGCAAACTTTAAACGAGACTTTTTATGGATATCTTTGAGAAATGGCTTTCTTCTTGCCACTCTTCCATAAATGCCAGATTTGTGCAGTGCACGACTGATTGTTGTCCTATGGACAGACTCTCCCACCTCAGCTGTAGTTATTTGCAGTTCATCCAGAGTGATCATGGGCCTCTTGGCTGCATCTCTGATCAGTCTTCTCCTTGTTTGAGATGAAAGTTTGGAGGGACGGCCGGGTCTTGGTAGATTTGCAGTGGTCTAATACTCCTTCCATTTCAATATAATTGCTTGCAATTCCTTGAGATGTTTAAAGCTTGGGAAATCTTTTTGTATCCAAATCCGGCTTTAAACTTTTCCACAACAGTATCTCGGACCTGCCTGGTGTGTTCCTTTGTCTTCATGGTTCTCTCTGCGCTTTAAACAGAACCCTGAGACTATCAAAGAGCAGGTGCATTTATACAGAGACTTGATTACACACAGGTGCATCATCAGTCATTTAGGACAACATTGGATCATTCAAAGATCCTCACTGAACTTCTGGAGTGAGTTTGCTGCACTGAAAGTAAAGGGGCCGAATAATATTGCACGCCCCACTTTTCAGTTTTTTATTTGTTTGTTTATTTGTTTAAATTATCCAATACATTTTGTTCCACTTCACGATTGTGTCCTACTTGTTGTTGATTCATGACAAAAAATAAATATTTTATATCTTTGTTTGAAGCCTGAAATGTGGCGAAATGTTCAAAGGTTCAAGGGGGGCGAATACTTTCGCAAGGCACTGTAGATGGTCAATGCTAACCCGCAAGCTCAATGAAAGCCAATAGGGTGTTTATGGACAAAGTTTTGCTCCATCTCGCTCTGGCTCCTATTGAATTATATGTAAACTCTTCTAGCTCAGTAAGCATTTGTGTCACAATCACAAGTTTGGACTTACAAGTTTGTGGTTTAGCGCTCTTTGAGTTTATATTGTGAACTCCAGCTTTACGTAGCAACTGTCACAGAAACACATCTGTCCCTGTTACAGCAGAAAGCTCACGCCGCAGGAGAAATTCCCATAAAATAAAATTGGCTCCAGCTAGCTTCGGTTCAAATCAGCTTCTTCTGCTTTAAAGGCGCTATACCCGTTTCTGCAATGTTTGAATGTTTAGCACCGCCCCCCAACTCGCTCAATGGCATTTGCCCTACGCTCTCATCCCACGGAGCCACCTAGTTTTATTTGCGATCTGATACGTATGCTAACATTAGCATTAGTGCAACTTCTTGTAAGCTGTGCAACAATCACTGATGAAATGGCACTAAAGCAACGCACTGCTAACACAATATATAAGTAAAAGAATACCGCTAGTTTCGCGTCCGAATTTATTAGTTTAAAACATTAGAATATATTCTAATATTTAATTATAATTTGTTATAGAGCTCTTCAAAGCAGCAGCACTCCATTGACTTGAATGCAATTCTTCCGATAATTTTTTCTTGATAACAGAACTCTCAAACCAATAATGACCGAAGCCCCAATGCAATCTCTATTTGTAGTTCAGGTGTGTAAAATACTGCCATTACTCTGCAAGTACAACAAGCTATCAGCGCCTGTCACTACACTGTGCAGTTTCTCTGCACACTTGTCTGTGTATAGAAGCTAGCGGAGCTAGCCACGCTCAATAAACAACTACATATCTATCAATCAACACCATTAAACTTCAATCGGACAGTACAGTATACATATACATCCTTAACACACATGCACGGACGATTTCAGAATTTGCTGTTAACGTTTTCATGACAAAAATACTGTTTTAATGTGACAAAAAGCGATAGCGAAAAACCCGGAAGTTACCATGAAACAACTAGTTAGCTTAGCTGTTACCTGCCTAGCACGTCCCGGTGAAACCTTTGGGAGCTAACTATTTTATTTGCAGTCATTAAATACATTTCGAATTATAAGGGTCGTCTAATATTTGTTCAAATATGTATATATTTTTTATTTTAGAATTATATTCAAATTTTGAAGTCGAAGCCCTGGTGTTAAGCAGCGCTGTAGAGGCTAGAGGACGCAGGCTGTTCGCTTCTTGTTCTGTGAGTGGAGGAGAACAAGCGTCCCGCAAAGTCTCTACTCAGCACATTTCACTGCTTGTAATTCTTACGCAGCTGAATCAAATACCTCAAGTTTTCAATTAAATGATGTATTATGATACAACTTGTATGTAGTAAAAAGCATTTTTATGAACTACTTAGAAAAAAAATTGGGTATAGCTTCTTTAATACTAAAACTTTGGTGATGTCACACCCGGTCAGTCCCCCCCTAAACCCACTGGCCATACTCATAGAAAACGCTTGTATGAAAGACATTGAACCGATAAAAATTCTGGTCCAAAATAAATTTGCAACTGGTGTTTGGTCCGGTGCGCTTATGACCCCATCTCGTCCACACAGAGCACCGTGAAGCTATACCCATTCCAGATCCACAGCATTGCCCTGTCCTCCTTCGCCTCTATCGTGGGACCCTTCGGAGGGTTCTTTGCCAGCGGCTTCAAGAGGGCCTTCAAGATCAAGGTCAGACCTCCCCCCACAGCAATCCCTTTTGGCGTGGGCTCATGTGTAACACTGCTTTACCCTCTCTGTCTTTGTCTCTCTCTGTCTCTGTCCCAGGACTTTGCCAACACAATCCCAGGACACGGAGGCATCATGGACCGGTTCGACTGCCAGTACATCATGGCCACGTTTGTCAATGTTTACATCGCCAGCTTCATCAGGTCTCAGCCACTCCACTCGCTTCATTTAAGATCAATATACTTATAGATAATTAGATACATGCATACATGCATGATCCCCGTAGGAGAAATTCAGGTGTTCAGTAGTAGCAAAAATACAATTGATCATTCTAAAAATCTAATAATAGTAAAGGCCTGTGTATACTCACACGGCGGTGGTTACGGTTGCGGTTGCGCTGGACCTATGCAGCCACAGTTGGTGGTGCACTCGCGCGTTCCCCTTACATAGTTTTGAAGAGAATGTTTTAATCCCACAACCAACCATGTGATGGCGATCTCACAGGAGTTGCATGAGAAACCAAAGCGGTCCCATTTACGCTGCTTCTTTCTCCTCTTCAGAACAAAAACATTAGCAAACCAAGCTCTTTGAGCTCATTGCATGTGTTTCTACTGTAGGTTTATGTGATAGCTCTATGGACTCATTATTTCATAACTCATTTAACTGTGATGTTGTGAATAAAGGCTCAGTTCTTGTTGGAAACACAATTATTATTAAATTGTATTCAGCACAAACAGCAAAACAATAAGTGGTAAATATCTGAGACAAACATGAACTTTTACAAGTGCAGGGGGAATGTAACAGACGCGATAAGCTACGAGTGCAGATTCAAACAAAGACAGGAACAGTGCAAAAGAAACGACTGCACAGTTTATACGTTTTATATATGTTAGATATGCAACAGAACTCTAGTCCACAGTCTCCGCGTATATCAGGCTCTGCCATGAGCCCAAACTACTTTTCCTTCGGTTCCTTCGAAGCACGAAGCAGTCTGCTCCGAAGTGCCTCGTCCATGCTCCTGCAGCCACTCCATGCTTCCCAGAAAGTAATCACACACGAACCAATCACAGCGGAGCTCTGCGGCGGCGGCCGCGTAGTTAGAAATTTTTGAGGGTGCGCTGCAGGCTACGTAAGGGTAGAAAAAAAGCAAGAAAAATAAAAAAAAATTAAATTTCTAATTACATAGCACATTTTATTAAACAAGTTTCCGAAGAAATTATAAGTATAAGCATGCAAGCCAGAGAATAGTGTATATGTTTTGTGTATTTTTTGTCTGCCCCTCACCTTGTTGTTTGATTGTTTGTGTGTGTATGTGTGTGCTCTTCCAGGGGCCCCAACCCCCACAAAGTGATCCAGCAGCTCATGGCCCTTCGCGCTGACCAGCAGCTGCACATCTTCAACGCACTGAAGACCCACCTCATAGAGAAGGGGCTGCTCCCGGCTCTGGAGCAGGTCATGGCTTAGTAACACCTTCCCCAGCTGACCACCATGAGCACGGAACTCTGCCGCCCGGTCCATCAGTGTCCATTTTGTGAACTCTATTTTGTGATTTTTGATTGTACATTCACACATTTCCATTCAAAAGTATATATATTATTATCATTTTTTGCCCAACACTGAACATTATTGATATATTTAGCTAACGGCGTGTTCTTTTGTTTTTATCGTACGTTTGATTTTAGAAGCACTGTTCTGCCAACCTGCTGTTACGCAGCTAAACGTTACCTTGTAAGTGACTAAGATGTGAGCCTTTATATTTATACATAGATGGTTTTATATGGGCTGTTATTGTCTAAAATGTGTGTCTGTGCGTACCTTTTGCTATGGCTAAATCACTCAATTAGCCGCAATACGAATATTTATCTTATTGTAATTAGATTCAGTCCACAAAGAGGTGGCATTTTCATATAAGATGACGTGGTTTGGTCATATTTCATGAGGAAGTGTAAAAGTCTTGAAAAACATTAATTTGCTTTGCGTGGGTCGCACCATTTCAGACGTCACCAATAGGACTTGGAGGGCGAGACCAGGGAGTGTCCCACTCATCAGAGCTGAGCTCGAGCAGGAAGAGTTTGTGCCCCAAAGTGGGTTTATTGAAAAACAATGGATTTGAGTTGGAGAGTTGAGGTTGACAAAGGGACACTAGAATCTCCACAAAATCCTCCTCTGTGAAAGCTGTAGATTCCCTGTCAGCTGAGGATGAGCCATTTTAGTGAACACTGAGGTCTATGGGGGAAATCTCCTTACAGACCATGTGGATTTAGGCTGCAGTACCGCAGGTGGCCTGTAGTCTATGTGGAAACAGGTTTCAGCAACAAAACCCTCCAGATATTTTCATACAACCATGATTATTTCTCACAAAACTGTGTAACCAACCTAGCCTGGCCTTAGCCATCCCTAAACTCCGGTCAATTATTTTTTCCCTACTGAGTTCGATTATGTAGTAAGACCAGGCTATAACCAGCCCAGTCCACACCAGAAACGGAACATGCCACTGCCACATGGGCAACGGTCGCAGGAACGTTGGTGTAAAAAGTCAATCTTCACCAGTATTAATGACACGTATCAGAGCCATTTTTGCAGTATTCTTATTTGCCATGTTATATGAACTGCTATGACCAAAAGATTTCTTCTTGTAATTTATTTCTTGTTCTATACAAAGGGTGACTGGTGTTGTAACTGAAGGAGTGGTTGTTCTAAAGCGTAGATTCAATGAGACTCATATATTTCTTGTCTGTCTTATGGATTTTGTTGGTAAATTGTTACAATATACATATTTGAAACACACTTTGTGTAGTTATTTCTGTCTTAACGGTTTCTTTTCAGATGTGTGCTTGAGAAATGACATAAGGTTTACCATTCACAGGACATTCATTTTAAAAGAGGTTTTTATTATTGTCTCACACAGAGAAATACAATTTTAACCTCGATTTATACATTGTCTTAGGGAGCGCTCACACTAAAGTGAACCAGAGTTTCAAGGCCAAAAACACAGCCTCCAAAGTGACTGGGGAAGCGTTCATTTGTTTGGTGGTTCCAGGTGCAACAGGTTTCTGAAGCACTAAATGGATCATTGTGGGAGTGACTCAACAAACCCAGAGTAGAAGCCAGTCTCACGTTTTCAGGAATATTTTTTTGCTGCAGGACTAAACTACCTGTTAAGTCCTCGTTCCGAATCCCAGCAGGAGACCAGTTCATGTGCTCCTCACAGTCCAAGTTGGTTCATACGAATGAGAGGACATCAAGACAGAGACCAGGACTAATGTGAGATGACTTGGATACTTTTAATTCTGGCAGTGTCTTCAGATGGTAAAAAGCTGCTGATCTCACTGGTGGCTGAATAGAATCAACCACGATTAGTCCTGGTCTCAGGTCTCTTATGTTTAAAAGAGGCTTATAGGAAAGTTGTTTCAAAATCTTGAAAAATAAAAGGTATTTTAAAACTGCTTTATAAAAAGTTCATCTCAAACTAGATCCATGAGACAGGACCAACCTTTAGAATGAGTTCAACACCCATTTGGGAAACGCCAGTGACACTTTGAGAGGGGTGACCTAAACTCGAGCGGTGTTCAGTTGGACTTCTGTGCTAGTCGATTACAATTACAATTTATTCTTGTACAGCCCTAAATCACAACAGTAGTAATCTCAGAGGATTTACCAAAACCAATGAAATTCCCAACACAGATCAGAGAATCAACAGTTAAGACACAAAAAATATGGAACACATGGTATTGGACCAAAGTGAGTTGAACAATGTCCATGAATGTTGATGTGACAGCCAGGGGGTTATAGGTAACTTGATTATTTCTCATTAAATAATATGGAATACTCCTGACAGAAAAAAACCAGCAACGCCACTTAGGGAGTTACACCTGAAGAATTTTGAAAGCACACAGGGTCAATTTTACTGAGGCAGAGACTGTTTAGTCAATCTAACAATGTTTATTTACAATGGGCTGCTCAAGAAAAATCTTTATTTCATATCTTTTTTAAAAATGGCTACTATAAAATGTACAGCACACACATACACGCACGCCCACAAACACACACACACTCGCTCAAAAGCACACACACATGCACACAGGGAGAGTAGGAGCTGGGATTTTCACCGTGGACTGAGTGGAGCTGGGCTGGGGGTCACCAAATAAAAAGTACACACACACACAGCAAATAAGAAAGTGCACTGCAAACCAAACAGGTGATCACCCCTGTGGCGCACACCTCCACCGCACCAGACTGGATAACGGCTCCTACGACACAAAAACAATATTTACAATTCACATTGGCGTATAGTGTAAAACGTCCAACGTATAACACAGTTCATATTGTCCTTTAAGTCCTGTGAAAAGGGATTGAGCGTGACGCGTCACTGAGCATTGAATTTCTTCGTCATGGTGCTACGTCCCTTAGCGGACTTCGCTAGTGGGATATCACGTGACTCCCAGGTCACACTGCCAGAGAGATCAAAAAATAATAAATGCTCCAATCACTAGCGACCCTCCTCTATAAAAGCCCCTGCACAAGGACTGAGCCCCCTGTTTCACTCTGGCGCCTTTGAGATCTTACCTTCATGTCTGCTGAGATGTCTACCTCGAATGTTCGTCCGATTTCCCCTTCGCCCTCCGGCGTCGGACGTCGTTGTTGCTCGGTGGGTCGGGTCAGGCTCCAGCGCACGGACCAGCATTCCAGCTGCTTCATGTACCTGGGCTCCGGCCATGCAGCGGTGAGCGCTGGCGGTGAGCGCTAGCTGCGCCTCGTGTCTCGCTCTCCCCAGGGAGGAGAGCGAACGCAGGCGTGCGTTCTCCGGTGCTACAGCGCCCCGTCCGGACTCCTCTCAGGACGAGGAGTCTGAGATTGACTGGGCCCCACTCGACCTTCCGCCAGTGCCTGCTGAATGGGGAGACTGCGACGTGGGAGAGGGTTCGGAGGACGGCTCTCTCCTCACCCGGTTCTGCAACACTGTGTAGCAGGCCAGTTTAACCCCCCGCCAGAATATACCCGGGGTTAAAGTAGCCTAGGCCAGATTACACCCCGGGGTTAAAATAGCCTAGGCCAGAATAAACCCCGGGGTATAAACTGGCCTAGGCTATTTTAACCCCCCATTGGCCAGGAATCCTTATAATGAATACAAGTGTATTTAAATATAAAACAATTTACAGGAAAAAAGAACTGCACTCTGTGCGTTCATCACAGGATTTTTATTCAAAAACAACAGTTGACTCATAAGCAGTCACACCAAGGAAGCAAGATGTATCTCTTCCATGATCAAATGAGACGGCAGAAAACACATCGAGCCCAAGAAACTCTTCGACACCGACACCATTGATATGCACAGTGAAGCAGTGAAGCAGCGGCTGAGGAGTCCGAGACACTGACACGTTTGTCACGTGACCGGTTGTTTTGATGCACTGACACGCTCCGATGCAGTGTTTCGAAGCAATTTACTTTATATAACAGCAGTATGTGTTCACGGAGGTGACTTTATATAACAGCAGTATGTGTTCACGGAGGTGACTTTATATAACAGCAGTATGTGTTCACGGAGGTGACTTTATATAACAATATTATGTGTTCACGGAGGTGACTTTATATAGGCAAGGCAAGTTTATTTATATAGCACAATTCATACACAAGGCAATTCAAAGTGCTGAACAAAACAAGAAAGCATTAAAATCCTAAATAATCACAGAACATTAAAAAGAAAGATAAAAATATAAAATCCCTCAGTTGTATGCACAGCTAAACAGAACTGTCTTTAATCTGGTTTTAAACATTGTCATTGAGGAGGCCTGTCTCACATCTTCAGGAAGACTGTTCCAGATTTTAGCAGCACGAATCTGAAAAGCAGCCTCCCCATGTTTAGTTCTGACTCTGGGCACTAACAGGAGTCCAGTCCCTGTGCTCCTCAGAGTCCGGGCTGGTTCATATGGTACTAACATGTCACTAATATATTTTGGTGCGAGGCCATGGAGAGACTTGTACACAAGCAGAGCTGTTTTAAAGTCTATTCTCTGAGCCACAGGAAGCCAGTGCAGAGACCTGAGAACTGGACTAATGTGGTCGTACTTCCTGGTTCTAGTCAGGACTCGAGCTGCTGCATTTTGAATGTACTGCAGCTGTTTTACAGCCTGTTTGGACAGAACTGTGAGCAGGCCATTGCAGTAGTCTAACCTACTGGAGACAAATGCATGGATAAGAATCTCCAAGTCTGCTTTAGACACTATGTTTTTGATCCTGGCAATGTTTTTTAGATGGTAAAAAGCTGCTGATGTTACTGATTTGATGTGGCTATTAAAATTTAAGTCTGAGTCCAGTATTACCCCTAGATTTCTGACCTTGTTTGAAGGTTTTAGGGAGAGAGACTGTAGGTGACAGGTGACGCTCTCTCTTTGTTTCTGGGGACCAAAGACCATCATTTCAGTTTTTTCAGTGAATTTAATTATTAAACGGTACTTCCGCATTGG